CACACACACACACACACACACACACACACACACACACACACACACACACACACACACACAGATGGAACACTCAGATGACACAAACACAGATGACACACACACACACACACATTCAGAACACGCATTCAGACGACACTGATATTCACACTCTGACAAACATACACTCAGATGACACACACACACACACACACACAGAGAAAAAGCACTAAAATAAAACACAGTCAGACGACACACAAGTTTAGATAACACACACTCACACACAGATGGAAAACACACTCAGATTACACTCAAAACCTCAGACGACATGCACAGTGAGATGACACACACACAGATGGAAAAACCTCATTCAGTTCACACACACACTCAAATGACACACAAAGGCACAGATGACATACACACATTCACACACACACACACACCTAGACAACACTCATACTAAGACAACACATTCAGACAACGCACAAAGATGCACAAACACACACACAGATGGAACACACACTCAGATGGAACACACAAACACACACGCACACACACTCAGAGATCATGGAACACACACAGACGACACACAGATAAAACACACTGGCAAATACACACTCAGATGACACATACACACACATGGAACACACACAGACAACACACACTTAGAACACACATTCAGACAACACTAATATACACACTCTGATGAACACACACTCAGATAACACACACACACACACACTCAGACAACACTAATATACACACTCTGATGAACACACACTCAGATAACACACACACACTCAGACAACACTAATATACACACTCTGATGAACACACACTCAGATAACACACACAAACAACAATGGAAAACTCATTAAGGTAACAGACACACTCAGACGACACACACACTCAGATTGAAAACACTCCAATCACACACACACACACACACACACACACACAGATGGAACACTCAGATGACACAGACAAACACAGATGACACACACACACACACACACACATTCAGAACAATCATTCAGACGACACAAATATACACACTCTGACAAACATACACTCAGATGACACACACACACACAGACACAGAGAAAAAGCACTGAAATAAAACACAGTCAGACGACACACAAGTTTAGATAACACACACTCACACAGATGGAAAACACACTCAGATTACACACAAAACCACAGACGACATGCACAGTCAGATGACACACACACAGAGGGAAACCCTCATTCAGTTCACACACACACTCAAATGACACACAAAGGCACAGATGACATACACACATTCACACACACACACACACCTAGACAACACTCATACTAAGACAACACATTCAGACAACGCACAAAGATGCACAAACACACACACAGATGGAACACACACTCAGATGGAACACACAAACACACACGCACACACACTCAGAGATCATGGAACACACTCAGACGACACACAGATAAAACACACTGGCAAATACACACTCAGATGACACATACACACACATGGAACACACACAGACAACACACACTTAGAACACACATTCAGACAACACTAATATACACACTCTGATGAACACACACTCAGATAACACACACACACACACACTCAGACAACACTAATATACACACTCTGATGAACACACACTCAGATAACACAAATATACACACTCTGATAAACACACACTCAGATAACACAAACACACTCAAACGACACACACTCAGATGACTCACACAGACACACACACTCAGACAACACAAATATACACACTATAACGAACACACACCAAGATGACAGACACACACACACAGATAGAAGACACACAGATAACACACAGACACACACACACACACACACACACTTAAAACACAAATTTAGACAACACAAACATACTTACTGTGATGACATGCATGCAAGCAAGCACACACACAATTATAATACTTGCATGACAAAAACACCCTAGCAACGCCTTAGCAACCACCTTGACCCATGCCCACATTTCACTGGCGTTTGTTTATCTGGCGTGACGAATCTCTGAAAGCCAAACTCATCGCATGAAATCAAAAGCACATTTTCACTTCAGCACAACAGAAGAGTGTGTGTGGGCATCAG